ATAAGGACGGTTGATTGTGAACAAACCACACCCCAGAGCACCCGCCAACCTCCTGCTTGAGTTATGCATGTAAGATTGAAACTGCTTTCAGTTTTAATCATTTTCCCCCAATAACAAGTTACAGAACTCTTTAAAACAAAATGAGAGATGTTTTTCTTTTGAAAATCGGACCATTATTATGGAAAGTGTGCCTGTTTCTTTTTTGTGATAATAGGCATAAGACTCCCGACGTCACGATTATGACGTAATTAAACGGTAAATAGAAGTTTACTCTTAATGTACTAGACTTCTATTTTTATATAGGCCTATTGATTCTACATAAAACAGCAAACAAAATTATACCTCAATGGTCACGATACAACAATTATTAAGGATTTTATGACGTTGTGAAGCAAAATTTCGAGTTTTGGTGGCACAAAATGCAGTGCAAAAATTTGGCCAAATCAGGGCGAAAATTGATTCACAAAAACGGTCGCTGCTTCGAAACTAACAAAGATAGCACAAAAATTGAAAAAGCTCTGAAAACAGATAGCCAAACTCTTTTCAATAATCCAAATGTTAGTGCCCTCGGAGAAGTTTGAAAATTTCACTGAAGTGCCTACGACAAGGTCTGCTTCGACTATCAAGGCGCCCCGGAAATAGCAAGTCACAAGAGAGTTACAAACATACAAAAGAAGTAGAGGAAAATGACCATAGTAAGGATTAAGAATCTTTGGTCAATGTTTGTCGAGTTTTCTGTTTTGAATTATTCTCTTTTTGGAATGGAGTGGGGTGAGCAACATGCATATCTTAGTGTATTCTACTGAAAAGGGTAGATCAAAGTCACAAAAATGTAAGTTTGCTGTTTCCAAGGACATTCAAGCTTTGGAAGTTACCAAACTAGTATTGTATCTCGTCGTAACACATGAAAATTCCTAACAATTGACGAGCACCTGATTGTGCCATGATTCCACCGCGTCGTGACATATTATTATTATTATGCCTAGCTATTGACGAGTGCCTGATTCCACTGAGTGGTGACACTGTTGATTGTTTCAAGGCCAATATGACATTCATGGGTTTGTGTAAGCGTCATTCTCCTTCGACCACCCATTGACTGTAGGGTTACACCTCAGGTGTTGTTCTTTTCTTTCTCATTCCCAGGACAACGTTCTGACCACTATGCCGGCACTACGTCGTAACCGCGGGGAAGGAAACCTCCAGGAAGTGAAATCGTTCTAAAGTCGTGTCTTTAGGAACGGGTTCTATTGTTGTCTTTTTGTTGTTGTTGCTGCTGCTGTTTTTGTTGTTGTTGTTGTTGTTGCTGTTGTTGTTGTTGTTGGCGGTGGTGGTGGTGGTTGTTGTTTATGTTTCTGTTGTTGCAGTTGTTGATGCTGTTACTGTTAACGTTTTTACTGTTGGTGGTGGTACTGCTGTCGTAGCTGGGTTTGTTTTGTTGTTGCTATTGTTTTGTTTTTGTTTTTGTTGCTAATGTAGTCCTCTGCTCAAACGAACAAATAGACCTAGCTGACTGCCTGTTGAGTCGATATGTTTCTCTTTGCTCAAACTGGCTCACGGACTGACATGACAGACAAACAAACAGGATTTTTTGGTTTGTTTGGTCTGGATCTGTAATGTAAATCCTGACTATCTGTGCTTAGTTTTGTGACGCAATAAATAAATAAACAACTTTGATTGAACGTTGTAGCATCCTTGGTTCTTTTGGTAAATTATCATTATTATTATTATTATTATTATTATTATTATTATTATCATTTCCCTTATTGTTGTGGTTGTTATAATAATAGTATCATTATAGTACTTTATGGTACCATGAGCAACGTCATTTAAAGAGGGTTCAATTAGAGTTTTACGGCACTTGTAACACAAATAGGTCATAGTAATTACCTGTGCCGGAGATTAGAGGTGCTTATAGAGAGTAAAAGTCAAAAGAAAAGAAGGAGAGAATAAAGTTAACAGGTGGTTCATAGGCAAGAAGGAGCAAACCACACCAGAGCACCCGTCAACCACTCACTATCCCGTCTGTGGTGTGGTGTATGTGCCTCGCTTTTGCAGGCAAGAGATGGTAGTTCAAGTCTAGTGTGGGGAAGTATTTGTCTAGTATTACTTTCATGGTCTTTCTGCTGGAATGTTGTATCCCTTCTCTTGGCTCCTGACTCTTTCTGCAGCCTTTCTATTGCTTCTCCTTAGCTCCTTCTTACTGCAGTCCTTCAACCACTCCTCTGATCTTATGGTAGGTACGATCTACTCTTAGCCCTCTGGGACAAGGGCGAAAAATCTCGGAGGTCCTGTGTGCAAGTTGTTCACATTAAAGATCCCTTCGTAGTCCAAAATCTTTAAGAGTAGGCTTCCTCCACTACCTGGGCAAAATTCAAAATTTCCTACCAATTGAAAATGTTGGATGTGTCCTGCGCGCTCATATGACTTTATGCAGTTGCGAGCGCTGTAAAACACTTACCAAAAAAAGGTCTTTCTGTTGGGATGTTGTATCCTTCTCAGCCGGGATTGGCCCTGATAGATGTAGTCAAAGCAATCTGCCACTCTAAATGACGAAAATGAGGCTGATGGGGGTGTAAAAACACCTAAACTTAAATAAGATAAAATGTCTTCCTTTAGTGTCATCATCATCATCATCATCATCGTCATCATCATCGTCATCAGCATCGTCATCATCATCATCATCGTGAACAAACACTTTCCTCCTTTCCTTATCCTGAGCTAGCTTCTTGTTTTTAAATCGTTCCCCATTTCATCTGTTTTGTCGTTGGTGGCCTAGTGGTTTAGCTACCGGACTCGTAATAGTGAGGTTGCTGGTTCGGAGGTTTGAGCCGCAGGCCCGACGTTGTGTCCTTGGGAAAGGCACTTTACACGAATTCTCCTCACTTCACCCTGGTGGTAATGGGTACCTGGCAATAGACAGTGAAAGATCTTGTCAGTATGTTTGTGTTTTAGCACCAATAAGTTGCAGCTTGTACTGTATGCTTCCCAGGAAGCTGAGATCATTTCAGAATGCTACCAGGTCTGCTAGGGTCATAAAATAGATTCCAATGGGAATTTGCGCCATGTAAATGCTATCTATATAATATGGTCACTTTTAAGGACAAGCGGGCTAACCCAGATTTAGGGGGTTTCCAGAAATCTTGACCAACACCAAAAGCGGGCATTGCCTTACCTATAGGAGAAGTTTTGTTTCATTGGTGTGTATATTTGTTTGGTTATAGTGAAAACTTTCCTTGTCTTTTAAAGAAACTGATCAAGGGTTCAAAAACTTTACCTTTGATTTTTTTTTTATCAAAACAGCATTTTTCAGGATAGTCCACTTGTGCTTAAAAGCGACCATATTACTGTAACACAGCTATGTCTCCCCTCTTTGCAGTCTGCGCCGACTACTTCTACGGGGAAGAATGTCTGCTTCAGTGCAGCTGTGACAGAGAACACAGTAACGGGCCATGTAACAAAACGAGCGGGGCATGCGACTGTCAGTCTGCCTGGACCGGCCATGTTTGTAGCCAAGATGTGGACGAGTGTGAGACGACGGCAACAAATACGTGCGCCCAGCAGAACAGAGAGAACTATGTGAGTGTGGCGGTGTGGCTCATCTTGTGTGTGTGTGTGTGTGTGTGTGTGTGTGTGTGTG